CATGGACTTGGCCATCTGGACTACAGTCGGCCTCTGCACAGGAACTGAGAAGGAGAGAAAGTTAGAAAAATAACTCAAGTACACCTAAATGGAAGAACAATAGAGGCGAATGGATTTTACCGTCGTCCTTCTGTTCCTCCTCTCTCCCCAGGCTCCTTTTCTCTCCTGCTGAGCCGACAGCAGTGGTGGGTTGCTTAAAGCCACCCTTCGATGCCCTCTTGGCATCCGGTTTGCTGATCTCCTTTTCAGCTTTGAGAGAAGAGGCGTCTGGGCCCTTCTTGGGCTTATGAGCAATGTGCTTCCGGCCGCCCTTGCCGGATGCGCTCACATCACCCGCCCTAGTCTTTTGGATTTTAGTGTCGGATGGTTTTGAAGGAGATTTGGAAGGCCCACCCTACATCAACACAAGATAAACGCAATTTAGAAATCATTCGGGCAAATTTAATATTGGTCAGAAATAAAAGTATAACAATTTTCTACCTTGGAGGTGCCGCCAATTTTCTGCTCGTCCACTTTGGTGTGAGTGGTTACTTCTGCCCTGTTTAGGACATTCGACCTGTATCGAGAAGCAGATACAGCCGGCTTCCTTGTGGCCGAGAGCTTTTCCATTGCTTTGTCTGCAAAAATGAACAAGTGATTAGCGTCATTAAACAAGTACTGAAAAGCAAAAGTAAATTGCATATAAAACAGACGGCCGACTACCTCTCGGCATCTCAGAACTTAGCCCACAGGCGGCTATGAATGTCCCTTCTTCAAACCACTTGTACAAAGGGAGATAGCATTGAGGGGTGACCTCCTTGTCCCCCTCATCATTCGTCCACACGGACACGGTAAACAACCCCGCGTCCATGATCTCCTCCTTTGCCCGCCTGGGAACAGGCGGCAATGCGCTCCTGCCTGCTAGGAGAGGTGGATCCTTATTCCACCTGTTATACTTTTGGTTCAGGCGACTGTCGGCAGACTTGACTATGTAAAACTTAGTCCTCCAGTCTTTCCACTTGTTCTCTTTGCCAACAACCATCATGTACCCCTTGCAAGTGGTCAAGGTGTACCAGCCTTCACCGCCCCTAGCAGGCGCCCTGCTCAGATAGTGCATGTGGGCGAACGCTTCAAAGCTCGCCTCCACCTGCAGCATCTCACAGGCGGCAACGTACCCCAGAATATTGATCCAGGAGTTGGGTACAAGTTGCCAGATACCCAGTTGGTATCCGTCCAAAATCCTCTCCACGGACGGATGGAGAGGGAAGCGGAGGCCAGCCTGGAAGGCCGCTTCATAGCAGCCGAATGCTTTGTCTTGATAGCTGGACAGGCTCGGCCAGGTTATGGTGTCGCCCTCGTTAAGGACCGACAAAGTGTAGCCATAGCCTAGGACGACCTTGCGCCTAAAATTGGCAAGGCCGGATGCCATGGCGCTCCGCCTGCCTGGAGGAACATGCTGATAGTAGGGGGCTCTCTCCAAGCGCCTGGAAGCACTCGGCTCGGCCCAGCTTTCCCCCCTATCCACTGTCAGGGATTCTCTGGCAGAATCTATGTTTGATCTAGCCTCCTCTGAAGTTACGGAGGCATTCTCTGTAGAAGATGACGAGGCCGACTCGTCACCAGAGCTCTCATCAGAGCTAGGGGACCGCCGACTGGTGCCAGCGGGGTCCTCCCCTAGACTCTCTTCCGGCGCCTGTCCAGAAGGCCCGGGTTGATATTCTTCATCCGCCTCCCCCAAGATTCCATCACTGGGAGTTCCACTAGATGTGGGCGAATGGTAATAAGTGGGGGTAGGAGGAAGATACGAAGGGCTGTCAGGGTGTTCCGACAGCTCAATTCGAGGCACTCTTATTGAGCCGTCTGAAAAAACAGTCGACCCATCCGAATGGTAGAAAACTCCATCGGAGCTACACTGCCTTGGTGTTCTTTTGATTCTGGCCATAGTGTCCTGCACAGACACGGAAACGGTCGGATTCGGAGAAGTTCGCAAAGCAGGGTCTTTGGCCAAGCATTCGGCACTGCTAGTTCTAGATTCAGCCGTCCCCGGTGACCGGCTGATCACTATCCTACGCCGTGCCGCATGCAATTGGGGAGCCATTTTTTCGAAAACAAAGAAAAAATGAAGAGTAAAAAGAAAATACATGCGTTACCTTTAGAAGAAGGGAGAAAGACGCCTGGTTGACTAAAGAACGGTCGGACTGGTAGCCGAGTGTCGGATGCTTGAAAAACGCTTAGGGAATTTTGAGATTCTTTAAGTCAAAAAGTCCAAGATTCTCCAGAGATTCGCCAAGGTGTGAATCCAAGAGGGGGGGTCAAACCTCACTATTTATAGGGGGGTAAAATCCTAATTTTTTCCTCCAGTAAATTTTCGAATCTGACCACTCAGATACTGACACCTGTCACAGGAGTCACGTGCAATGCACGTGACCCCTGTAAGGGGCAAATGATTTGGGTATTTTATACCCGGCCAGGTGGCCCAATCAGAAAGTGCCACGTGTCCTCCGTATAGGTGCCATTTGGACCTATGGAATGATGACACGTGGAGGGTGGACTCTTCTCCGTCCTACGTGGACTGAAGGTCCAGCAGGGCCATTCAGGTGGCGACACGTGTCACACACAAAAGTGCTTCAAAATCCTTTGGGCACAGTGACACGTGTCACTCAGGCATTGGCCCTGGGATGGCGGCCTTCTAAGGCCCAAATCCCGAGGCGCCGCAAAACGGCGTGACCTAATTACTAGGTCACCAGATCCTAGGAAGGCACACTTTTCAAAAGGACCCTATAAATAGGGACATTATGTCATTTATGACAGGGAGAGAATTTTTTGACACGCAATACGAGACAATACGTCACTTATCTCACTTTACCTGAGCTTGGAATCCAAGCAGATAACTTTACTTCCGCACGTTTTATTTCCGAACGTTTGCTGACTTAATCTTCGGAGGCGGACCCCCAACCATCCGGAGGTCCGTTTGCTTTGCAGGTACAGGCGTCCTCAGTTGAATCCAGTTTCAGTGTTGTAACTCTCCCGAGGGACAAAAAACCCCGAAACAATAACAAATGTAAATAAAAAAATTAAGAGACAATGGTTATAAGTCACAAAGTTAAGGTATAGGTTTGCATCAAAAACAAAGTTAAGGTATAGGTTTTTTCTTTCTTTCTTTCTTTCAAAAAAAAAAAAAAAAAAAAAGTTAATTAAGTTGGGCTTCTAATCCTCTCCATAGTAAGTTGGGCTTGGGCTAACTGGATTTCATTGGACCTAATGGTGGACTGTTGACGCGATTTCACAATATTAATGAATTAATGATTATGCAGCTAAGCCGCTAATATAGTCATATATGACCATCTAAACTTTTAATGTACACACTAACACACCAGATGCACATCAAAGGATGGTATTTTGCTTATTTATTTATTTTTAATTTAATGGGTAGATGATATCTTTGAGTGCAACTTACACCCAAGTGTACATAAATTTTATGCCCATCATTAATATATTTTTTTTCACCATATCATGATCACTATTACAACTCTATCAATTCATGCTCTTAATAGCATCAGCCTTTGACAACAAGTATACTTATTTTTGTAATTACAAGAACTGGTAAAACAAACCTGATTATTCAACTTGATGAGCTACACAGCAAGCTTGAACGAAGAATCGTTCTGGCACGCTAGATCTCAAGCAAATGAGATGAAGGGTGGAAGCAAGAACACATCATACTTAATCGTAAAGCATGCCAAAGGATCCCCTCAAAAAAAAAAAAAAAAAAAAAAAGCATGCCAAAGGAGTAGCATACAAGGACTTGATTATATGATAAACATAATATGTGGCACGATGTCACGAAATTAAAAATAACGTATAGTGCTGTCAAATGTCAATTACTTTTCGTTATAGGACTCATTCTCTTCAACTTGTTTTAGGTACTTATTACTTATTCCTTAATATATTTGAATAAGACCAAACTAGAAACATTTAAATCAGAACAAAACAAAACTTTTAATTATCATTTACTCATTGTTAAATATCGTTTATTTGGTATTACAAAAATTATGAAAATTACATATTTTAAAAGTTCATAATGAGAGGAATCTAACAAAAAACGTTTTGATAATGTTTTTCTTTATAAATTAGTATTAAAATGCGGTTAAAGTTTAGTCAAAATTTTAAATTAAATCAGACTAGATCTCCTTGTTTCAAACGAATGAGAACAAGTCCTTATTCAAGTTAGAAACCCTAACTGGATATGATGCCAATAATCTTGCAGGCCTTTGGAATATATATTTGTGACTAAATCATGAACAATGGGTTAGATAGTGAAACGACATGGCACATAGGATGAAATAAAGCAATTCTCTTTCAAATGCATCCTAATTAATGAAGCTCCGGGACTTCATAAATTAACAGTATGCATGAATTTTCAAAAAGTTTGGCATATTGTCAGAATCGATATTATTAACTTTGTGAATGGATTGATGGTGAATTGAGAGATGCTACACATAAACTTGGTTTGTAGGATAGACATAAACTTCCAGTAAGAAGTTGTCATGTCATTGTTAGCCAAACAAAGAGAGGGAAAATGGGGGGGGGGGAATTATTTGGGTTTAGGCGCCTAATTACAAGGTTGAGCGGGAGAAAAAGGTTAGGCACCAAACTACATTTGTTGAAGTTCATCAAATGAACTTCATTCTGGAAGAATTTTTCCAGAAAATAGAAGAAGAGAAGAAGAGAGAAAAGCTTGTAGAAGAAGAAAGAAGATTTTTTTTATTATTATTGAATGAAATGAATTTAAAGCAAGCTATTGATATTTATACAAGAGTTAGTTACATAATTCTAAAAAACTCTAACAAATATTCTAATAAACTGATGCTGAGCTGGAGCTGGAGCTAGCTGACTGATCTTCTAATTGTCCAACTGACTCTGCTTTCTTTTCCTGACTGTGCTGCTGACTTGAACCATGTACTCCAACACCCCCCCCCCCCTCAAACTTGCCAAGGGTGATTGAACCATGCCAAGTTTGGTTAGCAAATCCTGCTGCTGAGAAAGTGAGAGTTGCTTAGTGAAAACATCACCAAGCTGCAAACTATAGTAGGAATGTATGTGAGCTCAATCAAGTCCTCTAGGACTTTATCCCTTGTGAAATGGCAGTCCACTTCAATATGTTTAGTTCTTTCATTGAATATTGAGTATTTAGCTATATGAATAGCAGATTGACTGTCACAAAACAGCTTAACAGGCTTCAAACTTCCCAGACCCAATTCTTCAAGAATCCTAACCAGCCAGGCAACTTCACTTGCAGCATGTGCCATGGCTCTGTATTCAGCCTCAGCTGAGCTCTTTGAATTTGTAATTTGCTTCTTGGATTTCCAAGAGATTAGAGAATTACAAAGGAGCAGGACATAACCAGTTACAGACTTTCTGGAGGAAGGACAGGTTTCCCAATTAGAGTCACAAAAAAAAGCCTGCAGGGTAAGCTGATCAGTAGCTCTAAGAAGTATTCCCTGACCAACAGTATTAGCAACATATCTTAGAGTATGCTGTAAAGCAAGAACATGTGGAATCATGGGAGAGTGCATGAACTGGCTTAGAGTTTGAACAGCAAAATCTAAATCAGGTCTTGTGTTAGTAAGAAAGTTTAATTTCCCAACATAACATCTGTAAAGAGTAGCATTATCATAAAGGTCTCCCTGATCAGAATAAAGCTTCATATGAGAGGGAAAAGGAGTGTTTGCAGGCTTAGAAATGTCTAACTCACAGTCTTGCAAAAGTTCTTTAGTGAACTTTCTCTGAGACAGAACATAACCATCATTACACTTGCTGACCTAAATACAATAACATAATTCAACTTCAATTATAAGACTCACTTACTTCCATAAAAAAGTGTAAGAAGTCACAAATTCTTACACAAAATCTTTAATTCCAGAGAAAAGATTTGATGGAGATGACAATAATATGAACATATATATCAGAATTTTAATTCTCGTATATTAATATGCGAATGATCATTTACTAATACGCTAATGAACATCTATCATAATAAAAGTGAACATTCTCCAACAGTTATTTTCCACACTAAATTTACATCTAAATAATCTCACGAAATAGATCAAACTATTCATTAGGACAACAACACTCTGTTTTCAATTATTTTATGTCTAACAATTATATAATATAATAACACACCATAAACTAATTCAACACAAGAGTACATCAAATATTGATACAATTCAATCAATATATTAATTTTTTTTCTAAGATTTGACAATCAATTTGGGGGAAAAAATTAGAGTAATCAAATAATATTTAACTATTATATCAAATCAATGAAATGAAAAAGGAGAGATAAATTAGTATCTCATCAATGATTTGCGTTAATAATGAAGCTCCCATAAGAAGTGTCATGAATAGATGATGATTAAATTTTATGATGAAAACTATAAAGGTTTTTAGAGAGAGAAAATTAAGGATGAAGGTTTTTGAAGAGAGAAAATGGATATGTTGAAATTTTTTGGAGAGAAAAATAAAGGATGATGGTTTTTGGATAGGGAAATTGTAGTCCCTTATCTCGAATCGGAGATGCTAACGGGGGCGGTAAATGAAGCTTTTTACAAGAGAACAATGGTGATATACAAATAATTTGTATTTATTTGAGAGGGAGGTAAATTGGTGGTGGTTGTGGGGGAGGGGGTGCAGGTATATTTAGCTACACTAAGGTATAAGCATTAGTAATTACGGAATTTGGGTACATTATTAATTGTGCATCGAAAACAAAAATCAGATTTGAATTTAAGTTTGAAATTGTATTTAATTGAAATTTGAATGAAATATTTAAAAAATACGTAGTAGTTTTTTTGGGCCTCCATAGAAAACACCTATCAAAAGATACCACATCATTGGTTTATACCAGGCCCACATAAACCAAATTTATGTGTAGCCTTTGCCCGGTGAATTGAAGGAGATTGGTAGATCGACAAATTAAACATGCATTGTTTAAATCCTTAAAAGAAAACAGTGATAAACCAATCAATTGTTGCAATGTGCTTTATTAAATTATTTAAACCGTACCATTGAAAAAAAAATTGAAGCTATTTTTAATTATATTATCTCCATCAATCTAAATATCAACTATTTAATACTTTACGCTTGTACGTAATTAATGCTCAGGCCCGATTCTCTTTATCTTAAAAACAAATATTTAGTAAAAATAATTTCAATTTAATGAAAAATCAGTAATTTTAAATAAGTACGAAGATAGAGAATCAATAAAAATAATTTCAGTTCAGCAAAATAAAATGAAGAGAATAGGGTCTAGTGTTTGCAAAGAGTGTCAAGTATATAATTTGGTGACATAATATATCCCTCCTTTGGCTCTTGGGTAGGTAAAGTGGTTAATCTATATTATAATCACAGAGTCAGTTGATGATTTCTCCAAAACCCCAATCTTCAATTCTCATGCACTTTTTTTTTTTTTTTTTGGTGATATCCTCCAAATAACTTCCATTTTTTTAAAAAAAAAACAAAAATAATCCTACAAATAACTTCCACTTCTTTCCTTAAAAAAAAAAAAACACTTCCACTTCTACTATTTTTTAATTTTTAATTTTTTTTAGGAAAATTTGAATTTTAGTACCTCAAAATTGGGGGTAATTGAATTTTAGTACCCATCTAATTTTTTTTTTTAAATTATTACCTCCAAAATGACAAAAGTATAGGTTTCAGTACCTCCGTTACTATTCCGTCTGATTTGCCGTTTGTGGGCCCCAACTACCAAACTTCCCTCCCTTTGTTCTTTCTCTCTCTTCGATTCTCATTCAATTCCCTCCATTTTACTCTCTTTGTCTCTCTTTGCCCTGTTCCTCCATAATCAAATGCTCAACCACATGCAATAACTCCATTGCCCAAATTCAACCACGTTTTCTTTCTCTCTCCACTGTCAATTGCTAGGCTGTAAATTTTTTTTTTTTTTTTTTGTTTTCATTGTACCTCTGCAATTGACTCAAAGGTGTCTTCTTTTGACTCAAAGCACACATCAGCAAGCTTCTGGGAAAGGTCAATCTTGGAGTCGTCATCTCCATTGAAAGAAGTGGGAGATTCTTCTGACAACGAACATGTATGATTTCCCCAACTTTTTGTACTGTCCATTAATGGTTTGTTGCGCAATTTTGATGAAATTTGTGGGTATTTTTGGAAAAAATTAATTAAACCCTAGATTACTGTGTTTGGATTAAAGTATCAATTTAATTGAAATTGATTTATAATTGAATGTTACAAATGCATGTGTTAGGGTATTTGTGTTGTTGCTTTATGGTAATTGGTGTAGGGTAATGCATGTTACAGTTGCTGTTATTGTTGTTTGTGATATAGAAAATTGGTTAATTAGATTGTTTATTCCTTAATTTGTAGAATCTCAAATGGATGAGCTTGATAACACTGTTGAGGAGGAGCAACACACTCTCAAAAAAGCTTGTATTTCATTAGTTTTGAGGAGGAGCCCTAGGTGGCAACAGTCCAACCCATTAACAGAAACTTGTAGTGCAGTTAGTGAGCCATTAGTGAGGAGGAGTCCTAGGTTTTCCTCAGGAAGTGAATTGAGGGTGGGAAATGATAAAGGGAAAGGGAAGCTAAGTGAAGCTGCTGGGTTGGGAAAGAGGATAGCCAAATCAGAGGGGAAAGGGAAGGGTAAGGCACAAAGGAAGCTGTTCATTGAAGATGAGGAGAGTTTTTAGGTTCTTCTAGTGAGGACTTAAGTGACATAGACATAGATTGGAATCCAGGTGAGGAGGAAGAGGGTTATTCTGAAGATGAGGGATTGGGTGAGAGCACTGCTAACATCCTAGGTGAGGTGGAAAAGAGTTTGGCATTGGTTCATCCTGGGTGTTCAGGGCAGGGGAGTAAGCAGAAGTTGGATCAACTGGTGAAAGATCTAGGTCAGGGAGAAGTACAGCTTCATGAACAGCTGCTGCAGCAGCAGCATCTCAAGGAGCAGGAGCTGCTGCATCTCAAGGACCAAAGGCATCCTCAAAAACTGCAGCAGCAAAAGCATCTCAAGGAGCATCAGCACCCTCACAAGCAGCACCTTCTCAAAGGCCTAATACAAGGTCAAGGCAGAGTGCAGGAGCTGAGCCATACCTCTGCAGCCAAGCATCAACCACAACAACAGCAAAAAATACTACAGCAACAAGGCCAAGCAAGAAAAAAAATTAAGTGCAATTTCTGAAAATTGTTGAACCTATTTCTCTGACAGTATCCATTATGTATTCACTTTGATGAACTTATATATTTAGTAGTCACTTTTTGGACTTAGTCCCTTGTAAGTAGACATATTTATGTATATATGATATGACTCTATTTTATTAGATAAATGAAGCACATATATTTGAAGGCCAATACTTTTGAAATTCATACATACATAAAGTGCAATATATAACTTAAGTTCAATACAAACCACAAATACAACTACAATTAAGAACCATACATAATTAGTAGGAAAATTAGTATCACCATACTTAGACATAATACCCTGGAATTCATCACCCTCCCCTAAACAAGTTTTATGACTACACAAACTCCTAAAACCATAACAAGTACACAAAATACAACAACTACAGTCAACTGAAGCCTGTCACCACTACCATTGTTGCCTGTCATCTTCTTCCTATCACCAGACAAGGCCTTGCATTTAGTCTTCAATGTGTCAACTTCATTTAGCAAACACCTCCTTTGCCCAACAAGATCATCAACCTCCCTTTGCAAAGAATTCATCTCAGACTTCATTAACTTCTTGTCAAGAGTGAGGTTGTTGATTACCTCCCTTTGCCACTCAGTTTGCTCTAAGTCAACCCATTCAAAACATTTGCAACCCCTTGTCTCAGTGTTTGGATCCCAAAATTTACAAGCCTTGAACTTGCGCCCTGGATTCTCCCTCGTCCAAGATGTCAGCCTTGCTAGTGGCAACCCACAGTTACACTTCTTCAGTTTAGAGGGAGATTCAGTATTGCAGGACATTATGACTCCTGCAAACATCAAACAAAATAAAAATAGGGGCATTAGACAAAACACACTACAACAACAACAACACCACTTAGACACACCATGCATCACACAAACCTTGTTAAACTGGTGGCTGAGCACCATTATAGGGATAGCTAGGGGGTGGCCAATTCCCATTCTGTTTCTGCCTAAACTCCCACATACAATCTGCCAAGAACCCAGGATCATCAGTGGTGCCCACATGAATGGTGTAGATGTCCTTATTACCAAGCCTCCTAATCATTTTGAACACATCCCCATCATCCTCTAAATCCCTATATTTCCCTTTATAAATGTACTGGAATCTGGGAAACAAAATATCTATAGATCCTTCTACTGGATCGTCCATTTCACGCAAACGGTCTTCCCACTCTAAGCATTTATCCATCAAGTTGTCTTTACCTATTTCTAATTCAATGTCAATCACTACACTCAAGAACTTATATCTGAAAACCACTCTATCCTCAGCCATTCTGCAAATAAAAATACACATATGCAACAAAAAACCCCAAATTTAGAAATATGACACACATGCAACATTAATTTCAATAACACCAAAAATCCCCAATTTAACCAAATTAAAGAACCCTAACTTTTCTACACCATCAAAATACAAATTACATCAACATTATTCAAATAAACACACAATTGGCAGTACAAACTACAATGTCAATATCATATGAACCACAAATACAACACAATTCTACTCAAATCAACTTCAAATATAACAATTCGTATACAAAATTATGAACAAACTGACCTTTTTTTTTCAGCCAACCAAATCTTCAGCAAATGCGTGAACAATCCTCCCAACAGCTTCGCAATTAAGCAATTAACAAGAACCCTAAGTCTAATTGAATTTCTATCCCACAAATTTTGATTCTTCACTATAAACAGCAGCAAAAATGGGCAAAAAACGAAGAAAATCGTGGTTTAAAAAAAGGGAAGTAACAAACTAGCCGTTGACATGGGGCCCACAAACGGCAAATCAGACGGAATAGTAACGGAGGTACTGAAACCTATACTTTTGTCAGTTTGGAGGTACTAATTTAAAATAAAAAATTAGATGGGTACTAAAATTCAATTACCCCCAATTTTGAGGTACTAAAATTCAAATTACCCTTTTTTTTAATTATTATTTTTCCTAATGACCCACATACTATCCATTTTAATTAATATTAATTAACAAAAAAATAAACAAAAAATTACCAATTTTATTAATATATTAAGTATCTAAACAAAAATAACACGTTTTCTACGTGTGGCCGATTGGAACACAAAAAACACTAACCCGATAACTTCTGGCCGAGCTGAGTAATCCCTACCCGACCAAATATCCCCTGACTGATTAACCATTGATTGACCGGGTAACACCTAACAGACCGAGTAACCCCAAACCGAGTAACCTCCGATCGAGTAACCTTTAAAATATCGTGTAACCCCTGACTGACTGAGTAACTCCTAAACAAATAACCCGGCCACACGATGTGGCCAACCACATATGAACACTAACGGAGTAATCCTTATAACACCAACGGGGTTACCTCACACTGATTGGATGAAACCTATTAAACTAATAAAGTAACTCCCGTAAGAGCTGGACATACGGTGTTATAATAGTTAGTTACCCTATCAAAATCAACTTTTCGTATTTGAAAAACAATTTGTTATTAGATTTTTTTTTTTAAAATCATTTTGTAAAATATATATCCCGTGCATTTGCATGGGTACACTCTAGTTTATGCCAATTACAAAGCAAACAAACCATACATATCGCTGTTATAATGATGTTATTAAACATAACATGTAATTAACATATTCATCTCAAACAACTTTCTCGTAGAAGAAATTTACTCCCTCTCTAGAGAGAGAAAGTCCCAGTGAGAGAAAATCCTCTCTGTTTAGTTTTCCCTGTTTGTAAGCTAGGTAGTGTCTTCCATTAGTAAATTTCTTCCTTTGTTCTTGTCAAAAGTCCAGTTAAGTAATTTCTTCCTTTGTTCTTGTTAAAAGTCCAATTAAGTATGAGTGATTACGAATTTCCAACAACCTTTGTCTATCCTCATAGGGTAGGTGAATTTGGTGAACCTCTCCTCTTTCATGAAACTAGTTTTTTAGATTGGATTTGTTGTGTTATAGGTCGTTTTTGGGACGACCATGACTTTTCTCTTGCGTTAGTTCAACGTTTGGTGTCTCGTTACTGGCACCTCCGTGCACCAGTGGTGGTTAAATCTTATGGGTCCGATTTTATTTTCTTTTGTGGCACGGGAGAAGATGTTTTGGAGTTAGACATGAGGGGTTGGGTGCACTTTAAGGGTAGTCTCATGGTTATTCAAAGGCTTCGTGGCTACTCAGTACCCGACAACCTTAATCTTCATCTAGTGGATATGTGGGTTACAGTAGAAGGTCTGCCGATCCAACACTCCACTCCGATGGTGGCGGAATCTGTTCTAACTCATGTGGGCGAAATTACTGACAGAGAAGAACTTCAAGGTGAGTTTCCTATACCTCGCCCTCGAGTTAGGTTGTTAATTGATCTTTCTATTCCTATAATTCCTGGTTGTTATTTCCCTACCTATTGAAATCGAGCTACGTGGGTTCGATTTAAGTATGAAGGAATATTCAGATTCTATAAAAAGTGCGGATTTGTCGGACACGGTTGTAATACGTGTCGTAGGGGAAAAGATGAAATTAATTATCATTTGGAGCGTCGCTATCGTCACATCCACGAAAGGGGTGCACGTGTGTTATTTGGTCCTACGGATGTGTCTTTATATTCAAATTCAGTTCGAGGTATTCGACCAACTCCGAATGTTTGGACGACAAATTTATATTTTGGTGGATTTGATGAAGATGACCAATCTGATAATTCGGGTGATTCTCATCCTTCGGATATGGAAATTATGGGGGATGATCTTGGAGATTCACCACCACCTCCGCCATATCCAGCGCGGTCACTACCAGGGTTATTTCCAAACCCTCTTCCTGGTGGTTTCCGTTGTGCGGAGGACGAGGTCTGGCGGCGCAAACAGGGGGTCATTAGGGCTGAACAACGGTTCCATTTCCACGTCATCATCAAGCTAATGCTACACGTGCTCCTCACAGATTTACTTTTTCTCATGCTGAAGGTTATCAAGGCACCTGGAAGAATGCTCCTATCCCCAATAGCCAACATCAATCTTATCACATGGGTCATTCTCATCCATTACCTAATCAAGAGGTGATGCTCCCTCATCAAATTTTTCATGATAATCTTCGTCATGTGAATGAGGTAAGGACACCTCGTGATTCTGCTAGTGCCACGTCAGCAGAAATTTGGGAATTAATTTCCCCTTCTGATAACACGTCAAGGGGTCACTCTCCTCACGTGCGCCGAAATACTTCAACTGGGTTGAACAATGTTTCGGACTTTAATCAAAATGGGCCTACTCAATTTCAAGATCCAGCAAGTTTGCATCTAGTTCTTTGGGACTTGGGCCGTAATTTTGGGCCTCAATTTATAAATTCAGCCCCTGTTCATATACAAATATCTAACAACAATAGTGAGGCCTTTTCTGAAGATATGGATCATATCCTTCTTCGACAATACTCTGCTTCTCGTACTGATCCAGATCCGTACGCTGCGTATGGTCGAAAGACTCAAAATCAAAGTTCTCAGCCAGGTATGCTTTTTCGGCCGCCTCCTCTAGGGCATGCTGGTCCAATTTATCCTAACCCGTTTGGGGCGGGCTGCAGTAACTGGGTGGGGGATCCATCTCCGGCGAAGCAAGTTTCACCTATTCCTATGTCATCTTCTACTATGCCTATTTCTGAGAATACAGGAGATAATGATGCAATCGATTCTGGGTATGTTGCGGTTTCTTCTTCTGATGGGTTAGATATTCTGGTCAATAATTCTCCAGATTCGGGGTCATCTGAGAAAATCCCGTCCGTCCTATCAGAAGGTCCTGTTCCTATGGACTGTTCTCCTGCTATTTCAATGTCACCTCTACTTAAATCCACTCCAGCGTCTTCAACTTCAGTCAAGGATGGGAAGACTAAAGGGAGGAAACCTCTTTGCTTGAAATTAGTAAAACAGAGGGACAAGGTTTGGTCTTGGGTTAAAGATGTTTGTCCTCGCAAACGTTCAGCTTCTTATCATGAACTTAGCACTCCTCCTGTGACTATTGGTGATGCTAATTCGGCAGTATTTTCGTGTCTCAAGCCGTTTAAGAAACGGAAGGGTGTAGGGATCGGAAGAGGTCACTACGACACTCACTAAATCACCAACTCAAGACAATCAACCAATAATTCAAACAAATCAACCCAAATTATTTCACAACTAAATAACCACACACAATATCAGCAATAATGCAGTAGCAAAATAGCAATAGCACCAACAATACTAGGAAGAAAAGATAACAATCAACACACAAGACTTTTACGTGGAAAACCCCTTCGATGTGAAGGATAAAAACCACGCGACCGTTAAGGAGTCCACCCTAACTTCTCTTATTGATAATTGAGGGTAAAAATAAACCCAAATCAGTCTACAAAAGGTTTATACGCCCACCAACAACAACAAACAACAAGAGATGAAAAATAAAGAACAAGAGGAGTAGAAATCACCCTAAAACAGCGCTTCTGTCCAAGGACGATTCTGACCAAACCAGAGCTCGAACGACGATCTCCACCGTCCAAAATAAAGCCCTTGATGTCAGGAACAAGCTGTCAAAATTTGAGCATGATCCAACGGTTGAATTTCCGGCAACAGCCAGATCTGTAAAGACTGTCCAGAAAAATCCGAGAATGAAACTCTCTCTATTTCTCTCTTTTGTGTGTTCTAATTTTTTGTGAATGAATCCCTCTACTGACTTCACTTGGCTGCTGCCCTAAAATCACAAACATTTTTTTTTTTTTTTTACCCCAAAAGCTTTCTAAGAAAGCCACCAAAAAATAAGCCCAAAAGGACTTACTACTAACTAGTAAAATGTAATAAAAATTGACCAAGTAAAATGAGCCAAATACAAAATACATTTTATCACCAATTGGGCTGGACCCATAACAATCTCCCCCTCCAGCCCAACACGGGGAAGACCAACACGCTTCAAGCATCACTTGAAGCTCATTCCCACAAGCTTGTTACAAACATCAAGCTTGCTTCCGGGAACCATCTTAGTCAACATATCTGCACCATTCTTGTCGGTGTGGCATTTCTTCAGTTTCAAAAGCCTTTCTTCAATCACATCTCGTAACCAATGATATCGAACATCAATATGCTTAGTACGAGAATGATACATTGCATTCTTACTCAAATCCATAGCACTTTGACTATCACAAAGCACTACATATTCTCCTTGCTTCAAACCCAACTCTCGAAGGAACCTTTTAAGCCATAGCATCTCTTTGCCTGCTTCCACAGCTGCAATATACTCTGCCTCAGTTGTTGATAATGCTACGCATTTTTGTAGCTTGGATTGCCATGAGATGGCTCCCCCTGAAAAAGTAAACACATAACCTGAGGTAGACTTTCTATTATCAAGATCACCTGCCATGTCTGCATCTGTATATCCTTCAAGTAAAGGTTCGCCACTTCCATAACACAAACTTAACTTGGAAGTGCCTCGCAAGTATCTGAAGATCCACTTCACTGCTTCCCAATGAGCCTTACCCGGATTGGATAAGTATCTACTCACTAATCCAACAGAATGTGCAATATCTGGCCTAGTACAAACCATGGCATACATCAAAGAACCAACAGCAGAAGAATATGGAATAGAAGACATACTTGCTTTCTCCTTCTCTGTTGCAGGACAAGCTTTCTTGCTTAGCTTGAAATGTGTTGCAAGTGGTGTACTAACAGGCTTCGCATGCTTCATATTGAACCTTTCAAGAACCCATTCAATATACTTTTCTTGTGATAACCATAACATTCCCGCTTTCCTATCACGAGCAATCTCCATGCCTAAGATTTGCTTTGTAGGACCCAAGTCTTTCATGTCAAATGACTTGGACAAGTTTTTCTTCAAGTTGCTAATCATCTCTGAATCTTGTCCAACTATCAGCATATCATCTACATACAAAAGAAGGATAATGAACTTGCCACCAGGGAACCTCTTAAAGTACACACAAGGATCTGCAGAAGTCCGCTTATAACCATTACTTGTCATAAACGAATCAAATTTTCGGTACCACTGCCTTGGTGCCTGTTTAAGCCCATAAAGACTCTTTTTCAACTTACAAACAAGATTTTCTTTCCCCTTTTCCTCAAATCCTTCAGGTTGCTCCATGTAGATTTCTTCATGCAAGTCACCATGTAAAAAGGCAGTTTTAACATCAAGCTGCTCTAACTCAAGATCAAGACTTGCAGCTAACCCTAGCACAGTTCTGATAGAAGTCATTTTGACAACTGGAGAGAAGATCTCATCAAAGTCAATGCCCTTTTTCTGGTTACATCCCTTGACCAGCAATCTGGCTTTTCTCTTCACAATCTTCTCACCATCTTTCTTGTTCTTGAAAACCCATCTGTTTTTCAAGACTTTCTTGCCCTTGGGAGGCTCCACTAACTCATAAGTTTCATTCTTCTGTAAGGAATCCATTTCTTCCTTCATTGTATCGAGCCACATATCTTTCTCTTCAAGAGACAACACTTCTTGATAATTTTCTGGTTCTCCATCCTCGGTGAGTAGAATGAACTCTGAGCTTGGATACCTTGTTGAAGGTTTGTGCTCTCTGGTTGACCTTCGAACATGTGTATCCACAACTTGAGGGGTAGGTTGCTCCCCCTGCTCATGAACCTCTTCATGTACTTCTTCCTCATTTGATGAAGACTCATCACGATCAACACCATCATCCTCATCATGAATGCCATCATCATCATGATGAACTGGTACATCACCATTAGGTTGTACCTCACCAACATCTTCATGATTCTCCTCAACATTCTCATTTGCAGGCTGATTTACAGGTGTAGAAGAAGAAACACCATCAGTAGTATCAAAAGACAATTCTGAAGTAGAAGAATACCTTGTACTCAGAAGAACTGCACCCTTCTCATGCTCAAAGAATACTACATCTCTACTTCTCACAACCTTCTTTTTTTCAGGTTCATATAGTCTGAAACCATACTCTTCATCACCATAGCCAACAAAAACACATGGATTAGTCTTGGAATCAAGCTTCGATCTCTGATCTTTCGGCACATGCATGAATGCCTTGCATCCAAAGACTCTCAAGTGTGAATATGAAGGATCACACCCCTTCCATGCTCTATCAGGAATGTCAAAACCAAGAGGAACTGATGGAGAACGATTGATCAAATAAACGACACACTGAACTGCTTCAGCCCAGAATGTCTTAGGAAGATCAGACATTCTAAGCATACATCTCACTTTCTCCACAATGGTTCTGTTCATCCTTTCTGCAACTCCATTGTGTTGTGGTGTACCGGGCTCTGTCTTCTCATGTCTTATGCCATACTGTGAGCAGTAATACTTGAACTCTTTCGAAGTATACTCACCACCATTGTCAGTTCGAAAACGCTTCAACTTTCTTTCTGTCTCCCTTTCTACCATGGAATGAAATTTTTGGAAGACCTCGAACACTTGGCATTTTGTCTTCAACATATACACCCAAGTTCTTCGAGTAGCATCATCGATAAAAGTGACAAAATATCTATTGCCACCAAGAGATTCAACTTCAATGGGACCACAAACATCGGAGTGTACTAACTCCAACTTGGCTTGCTTTCTAGTAGACTTCCTGGAAAAGGAAGCTCTATGCTGCTTTCCTGCCAAACAATGATCACAAGGGTCAAGAGAAACAGTTTTATCAACAGGAATCAATGTTTTACCTGCTAAAAGTTTTAATCCCTTGTCACTCATATGTCCCAATCTTCGATGCCACAAATTAGGAGAATTCTTCTCTTCCACTGCATTAATCTCACCAGAACATACACTCAAATATGTCTTGTACAAAGAGCAACACAACTCACCCCGTGCAACTGTCATCGAACCCTTAGACAACTTCCACTTACCATCACCAAAGGTATGTCGGAAACCCTCTAAATCAAGAACATTAGCAGACAACAAATTAAGGCGTAGATCAGGAATATGGCACACATTCTTCAATGTAAGCACGCACCCAACACTTGTCTTCACACGAATATCACCTAGCCCAACAATGCTTGCTGAGCTCTGATTTCCCATCTTCACACTACCAAAATCACCAGACTTGTAGTTCATGAAGTACTCTCTCTTGGGAACACAATGGTATGAAGCCCCTGTATCTACTAACCACTCTGTGTCTAAACTGTCAACATGATGACACTCACTAGTTGCACAAATCAAAGTGACCTCATCATCACTTTTGGAAGCTGTTGCTGCAGTGTTTTTATCATCTCCCTCTTTTTGTGAATCATTCTTCTTTCTCTGTTCCTTTTTCAAACGGAAACAATACTTCTTGATATGACCAGGCTTCTTGCAGTAGTGGCATGTATTCACATTTCTTCCATCATTGGATTTGGACCTACTCCTTGAGTTATCACGACCTTTGGGACCCTTACTCTTGCCTCTTCCTCTATTCTCAACAACAAGAGCATGTGAATTATCAACTCCCATCTCCTTTCTTCTGATTTCTTCATTAAACATGCTATCTTTGATCACATCCAAAGATAATACACCATCTGGAGCAGAGTTACTAATATTCACAACCAAGGTCTCCCAACTATCTGGCAAAGAACTCAACAAAAACAAAGCCTGCAACTCATCATCAAGAGTAACTTTCATAGTAGTCAACTTGTTAATAATATCCTGAAAGTCATTAAGATGCTCAGAAACAGACTTTCCATTTTTCAATTTCAAATTAACAAGTCTTTTAATCAATGAAGCTTTATTATGGGCGGTCTTCCTTTCATAAAGACCTTCTAACTTCTTCCACAACTCATAAGGGTCGGACTCTTGTGACACATGGTTGAATATGCTAATATCAACCCATTGCCTAATTGTCCCCAAAGTCTTCCTTTTCAACTTTTCCCAATCTTTAACTTCCATTTTATCCGGTTTAGATGGTTTAGAAACATTTCCATCTTTATCAGTGACAGATTCAATAGGGTCAAACAAGTCCTTGCAATATAACAAGTCTTCCATCATAGGTCTCCAAATTAAATAATTAGATGATGTCAATTTAACCATCGAGCTACTACTACTCGAATCCATAATGTGATTATATTAACCACGGCTCTGATACCAAGTTGTAGGGATCGGAAGAGGTCACTACGACACTCACAAAATCACCAACTCAAGACAATCAACCAATAATTCAAACAAATCAACCCAAATTATTTCACAACTAAATAACCACACACAATACCAGCAATAATGCAGTAGCAAAATAGAAATAGCACCAACAATACTAGGAAGAAAAGATAACAATCAACACACAAGACTTTTACGTGGAAAACCCCTTCGATGTGAAGGATAAAAACCACGGGACCGTTAAGGAGTCCACCCTAACTTCTCTTATTGATAATTGAGGGTAAAAATAAACCCAAATCAGTCTACAAAAGGTTTATACGCCCACCAACAACAACAAACAACAAGAGATGAAAAATAGAGAACAAGAGGAGTAGAAATCACCCTAAAACAGCGCTTCTGTCCAAGGACTATTCTGACCAAACCAGAGCTCGAACGACGATCTCCACCGTCCAAAATAAAGCCCTTGATGTCAGGAACAAGCTGTCAAAATTTGAGGATGATCCAACGGTTGAATTTCCGGCAACAGCCAGATCTGTAAAGACTGTCCAGAAAAATCCGAGAATGAAACTCTCTCTATTTCTCTCTTTTGTGTGTTCTAATTTTTTGTGAATGAATCCCTCTACTGACTTCACTTG